ACACCTGCCACCCCTGCCTTAGCCTGTGCTACTGGTGGCTTCACACGCGGATACAGAGCGCGTCGGGGTAGTCCAGCTGAGAAGTGATGGAAGCCTGAAGAACTGAGGCCAAGCTGTAGCCAGAGGATGAGGCCCAGTCTCCTAGTCAAGCAAAAATGACGACACCCATTCATGAGTAATTTTAATTACGCTGTGCCAGGACATAGCTCCAGTAAAGGAACTAAGAGTGACTCTCACTCCACACAGCAGAAACTGTTTCAGAAGTTTGTGCCTTCAGTTTTCATGAGAGCTGCAAACTTCTCAAAGTGTTTCTCTGCTACCGGCTCACTGTGCCGTGCACGACTTCTGCTCATCGTGTCCGACCAAGCCATCCTGACTGCAGCAGCGTAGTTGGTGTGCAGAAGCGCAGGCAGAGCAGAATATAGCTGCCATCTGACTGTTCTCCTGTTGGCCACGCTTTAATGTTGAATAAATCCAGCAAGAGACAGCTCTTTCTTTGAGTTATTACTAGGCAGGGGTCCGAGGATGTGAAGACTTAAAGAAGTACGTGGCTTCGCGTGTCCATACACCTTGCGTTGCTGTTACTGGTGGTCTGCAGTAGTTTGGGATGGCAGGCTGCAGGATGTGGGCAGGTAGGCTAGTAGGATTAGTAGGAATGGAAATGCACCTGTGTTTTCTGTTTCTGTTCCGCTTTGAATGATTTTTTTTTTTCGAGGTGGGAGGTTGTGCGTGAGGATCTGGGTGAAGGCCATACCAGCTTCGTGCAGAAAGTGTGCGTTTCCCAGTTACACAAGACATACCTTGTCTTGCACACGTGGGATCACATTCGACTTTCCAGCCTCGCTGGTGGTGTGGTTCGCTGACGCTGTGATGAGGCAGTACTTGCAGAATTCCTTCTCCTCTGGTTTTCCCAGTTAGGAGCCCCAGCCTAGTGCAGACATTCTTGTCATTAAGGTGGGATCCGAATCCCACAGAAACTAGTACATACTTTCCCAGGATTTTCAGAATCAGGCCCACTAGTTCCAGAGTACCTGTCTTTGCATTTTGTACTAAATAAATTCTGTTGTGGTTTTGTTAGCTCACTTTTCAAAATCATCTGGTTCTGTGTGACATCTTCGTCGCCGAAATCTGGCAGTGCTTCCAACTTCGTGTCACCAGGAAATTGCGCCAGAACCTGTGTATTATTTTGCCTAATTACAGTTGAAAATATTAAATTTGTCCAAAGATTTGTCCAAGGATCCTTGAGAGTCGGCTGCACAAATGATCTCCTTCTTAACTGACGGTACTCCTTTTTGCCAGCTCACCTTTACCCGGTTCCCTGCGCATCCGCATCTTAAGGAAGGGTTTCCAGTTTGCTTTGATTCGAGTGTTTTACTGAAGTGGCCAGGCTGCCGCACTCCACGCTCAGAAAAAGGACGTTCTGTTTTTAGGTCATTTTCCATTTACTGCCATGTCATCAGTTAGGCTTTACTTAAAAAGGCATCACGAAGCCTTGCGCGCTGGTGAGGCCACACTGACACGTCGACATGAATCTTTTTTTGCAGGTTTGAGGAAATAGTGATTGGAAGAGCTTTGCTTGAGAGGCTGTAGGCAGGGTCAGGGAGAGTTCAGTTCCTGGAGCCTTTGGCTCAGAGAGGCTGTTACTATTTTACATGTAGCCTTTTATTCACCTTTCACTTTGGTTGCCTAATTTAAAAGGAAAATACCAGCAACTGCCAGTTGTGTCACTTCCAAAGGGATGCAATTCCTGAGGGCTCTAGCCTTGTTGGGACCGCCTTGCAGATCCTGGGACAAGACACTGTGCACCTGAGAGGTCCGTGAGCCGAGCAAGCAGCCGGGCTGAGAGGACGTTTCTCTGCAGCTGGGTGACTCCAGGCAGCTGGTGTGAAGCACAGGGAGCTCCTGCAGAGGCTGCAGGGGCTGACGGAAGCTGCTTCTGGAAGTCACAGCAGCGCTGTTTCATTTCAGAATGAAATTTTCAAATTGACGACGCTTCTTCATAGCGCGCTGCTGGCAAGGCAGGTGTCGGATTTGGGAGGCTCGTGCTGGGCGCTGGTACGGGATCGGGCAGTTGCCATGGGCGTGCAGTGCGGGCTCTGAGTGTGTGTCGGCAGCTTTCCCAGGTGTGTCTCTGCTTCGGCACAGACTGGGTGTGTGGGTGGCCACTACTGTGGCCGCCTTCCCTGTCAGCGTGGTGGGCTCCCGGGATGGCTGCCAGCAAGCCAAGGGGGCTGTGAGGGAGGCCACTGCTCTGCGAGTCTGACCACAGCAGCCTTCCGTTCCTGCTGCCAGCGCTCGTTCTCTCTGCCCAGCCTTACCCACCGTGCGGTGCCACAAAACCAAGGAGGGTCGTCGCTGGGGGCAGGTTTGGAGGGTGGCTTGGCCATGGCAGAGCAACGTGTCCCTGGCTCTGGTCAGGGCTTGGGCGTTCGTGGCAGCCGGCGCGGCTCCTCGCACGTGCGTGCAGGCTGGGGCTGCCAGCGTGGCTGGGCTGGAGGTGCAAGGGGCACATCTGGGCACCCCGGGGCTCTGCAAGGCTTTCCCCTCTGCTGGGGGAGCTTCTCCCAGGCACACTGCACTCTGCGGTTTGCCTCCCTCTCCTCCGTGACTGCGGCTGAGTGTGCAGCCTGGCATGGTGCCGTGCCGTCAGGCACTGCCGGAGCTCTGGGGCAGCCCACCCTGTCCCTTCCCATCCCACCCTGTGCCATCCCATCCCGCCTTGTCCTGTCCCATCTCATCCCATCCCATCCGTCCTGTCCCAGCCCAGCAGCGCAGTCCCCAGGACCCATCTCTCCCCGTCCCCAGAGAGCGGCGTTGTCCCTGCTCCAGTGGCAGCAGGCTCCCTCCCGCAAGGAGGCAAGAGGAGATGGATGCGGCAGTCAGGAGCGGAGCGCCAGCTAATTACCCTTCCGAGTGTGTCTTGTAAATTAAGGGCTAATTAGAGGCAAAGTCAGTGTCATGGTTTTACACGTGTTTCTGTGGCGCTGAACAAGGCGGGGGGGGGGGGCGTGCGGCAGCCGGG